GGGCAAAGACTTAAACTGGCATTTCACAAAGGAGGATATCTAAATGGCCAATAAATATATTAAAGTCGCTCAATATCATCAGAGAAAAGCAGATTAAAACTACAGTGAGCCAACAAACACATGAAAAAATCCTCAGTATCATTGTCATTAGAGAAGTGCAAATTAAAACCACAGTGAGATACCATTTCACACTCACTAGGATGGCTGTCATTTTAAAACAAGGAAAATAACAAGTGTCGACTAGGGCGTGGAGAAATCATAACCCTTACATTGCTTACATTTTTGGTGAGAATGCAAAATGGTGCAGCCACTGTGGAAAATAGTTTGGCAGTTCCTCAAAAAGTTAAACATAGAGTTACCATATGATCCCACAATTCTACTCCTAGGTGTATATTTAAAAGAATGGAAAACAGGGACTAAAATAAGTACATGTGCACACACTGTACATAATAGCCAAAAAGTGGAAAGACCCCAGATGTCTATTGATTTATAAATGAATAAACAAATTATGATATTCACACACTATAACAAAACCTTATTCATCCATAGAAAGGAGAGACATATGAATACATGCTACAATGTGGATGAACTTCAGAAACATTATACTGAGTGAAAGAAGCCAGACACACAAGGTTACATATAGTAAAATTCCATTTATATGAATATCCAGAATAGATAAATCAATAGAGGCAGTATACAGAATGATGGTTGCCAGGAGCTGGGGATTCAGGGAGAGGGGAGGCAAGGTGACAAATGGAGAGAAATTGATTAATGGGTGAAGGGCTTTACTTTGGAGTGATGAGAATGTTTTGGAACTAGATAGAGGTGGTAATTGCAGTATATTGTGAGTCTACTAATAGCCATTGAATTGTTCACTTTAAAATGGTTGATTTTGTTATATAAATTTCACCTCAGTAAATTGTTTTTAAATAACTATGAGATATCACTGTATATATACCCACTAGGATGGGTAAAGTGAAGAATACTGTGTCATTTTCAAGTGTAGGTGAGGATGTGGAGCAACTGGAACCCTCCTGCATTGCTGGTAGGAGGACTACTAACGCTAAACACATGCCCTGTTCTAACCTTGCATTCTACTCCTGCCTATATGCTAAAAGGAAATGAACACATCGCCACCAAAAGGCATGTACAAAAAGGTTCTTAGCAGCGCTGTTCATAATCGCCTAAAACTATAAACAACCTAAATGTCCATCAAAGTAGAATGGATAACTAAGTTGTGCTGTATTCATACATGGAATACTACATAGCAATAAAAAAGAATGAACTGTTGCTACACATGCAGCGAAGATGAATTTCACAGAAATAATGTTGAGTGAAAGTCTATTTTTATTCTACTTATATGAAGTTCAAGAACAGGCCAAACTAATCTCTGGTGATAGATGTCAGAATGACCTTTGCTGGGAGGGTACGGGGGCTAGAGGTTATTGACAAGGGAGCTCAAGAGAGCCATCTGGAAAATCTTCTATATCTTGTGAGCAGTGGTTACACAGGTGTATACATATGTACAGAATAACCAATCTGTGCCCTTAAGATCTCTTCACTTTACTGTATTATTAGAAAACAAACAAACTGGGAAAGAAACAAACTAGAAAAACAAAACAAAAACAGTCATCAGAGTAGATGTTCTTACAGGGAAGCAGGAGAAGAGAGTGTTTGAGAAGTGAGGTTCTAAATGGCCTTGAATGGTAGTGAAATGGCAGACGTTTGGATTCAGTCCTATAACTCTGGTAGGTTTGAGGGAGGGAAATGACATAATGGAGGCAGATTTTTAGGGAAACACGTCTTTGGAGATGTGCCTGGTGGACTGAGGACTGGTCCACAAGTGGGAGACAGTTGCAGTAGGACCTGAATTAGGGTGATACTGTCTTACATGTAAACTCAGAAGGAAGAATTAGTAAGGCTAGTAACTGGTTGGCCAGGACAGCAGAGGACCATAGAGCAGAGATGACTGAGGTCCCACTGTAGATGGCTGAGAACACGGTAGTCCTGATAACAGAATTAAGAAAGCCAGGAAGAGGAATCAGTTTGGGAAGTAAAAACGTGATTTTAAGTGCTTTAATTTTGATCGTGGTGACAGGTATTTGTGGCGCTTAGAAGAGCAGTCAGGGCTGATGATAGAAACCTGAAAATCACCCACGTACAGGCAGGCTATTTTGAGTAGATGAGATCCCTGAAAGAAAGAATGTAACAGAGATTGCAGAAGGGCAGCCCTTAAAGAAGAAAGAGGTGATAGGGGACGAGGAGACTGCAGGTGTAGAGAGAACCAAGGTAACACAGAACATAACCAGAAGCACTTACGCCAAATGAAGAGAGAGTTGGGGCATGAAGATGTAAAGGGAGAAAATAACCGAAGTAGGAGAGGAAGGTAAAGATTGAGAGTGTGATAGAAGGCAGAGATAATTAAGGGAACGTGGTCTTGGAGAAGGCAGGCGGAAACAGGATCTGGAAGCAAAGGCAGAGGCCTTGGATGGCTTTACCTGTGAAGAGCCCAGGTGTGTATAATCAGGTCACAAGAATTAGGCAGCATCTTCAGTGACTTTCTCTTGCAGTATTTTTGTCCTCTAAGTAGGAACTGAGGGTGAGAATGAGTGTGACTGTGAGAGCCATGGAGTCCCAGGTATTTGGACTAATTTTGGGTTCCAGGCATAATTCTAGTCTCTGTGAAAGGAATATAAAAGAAATTTAAGACACCACCCATGACCTCTGGGAATTTATGTGGTGCAATTCAACAATAATTAAGAGCAAAAACAAGTGTGAGTAGGATGTTTTGAATTCTGACTTTGTCATTTTCCAGTTTATAACTATGGGCAGCATTAGGTCTCTGTACTTCTGTTTTCTCATCTGTCAAATGGAGATAATTTAATAATATCTACCTCATATGTTGTTCTGGAGATTAAATGAGTTAATATAAGCAAGGTGCTTGGAACAATGCCTGAAGCATAGTACATACATGATAAATATTAGCTAAGATCACGATAAAGCTATAGGAGTTCACGAGGGGAAAAAATTAGTGAAGGCTGGAGCTGGTGGGAAGGCTCTGTGGAGGAGTGGGGATTTATGAGGCAATTCAGGGACAAATCAGAGGAAAGGAATAAGGGAGAAGGAATTCTAGTTTGGGGAAAACATTATGAATAAAGTCTTAGATCAGTAAAGCCATTGGCACTTGAGTGTGATTTATTTGATGACTTTGACCATTCCTGTTGGGGAGTAGTGAGAGTGAGAGTAGGATAGCAGGATGCATAATTGGTATTTGTTGTAATAAAAGAAGTGTGAGTTGAGGAGTCAGAGCTCCTTGGTAGTGATTTTTATCCTGGCCCTGTGACTTTGGGCAAGTTGTCCCTTCTCTTAGGACCCCAAGTTTCCTAATCTGTGAAATGAAATGGGCTGGATCTGTAAATCCTTTGCAGCTCTAAAATTCCATGCTTCGTACATGAAAATGATTTCTTTGAATCCACTGTCTGTGAAACAGTGGATTTTTTGCCTAGCATTAAGCTAACAAGTCTGTGTGGGGACAAACATGTGGTTCTGGCCTCGTTAGTCCCATGCTATGAGTGTGTGAGCTGACCAGCCCGCATGTGGACGCTACGCACTGCCTTCGCAACACTTAGCAATCGCCACCACTACAGAAACCTGGGGTCTCTGCAGGTGTTTTATAAAAAGAGCCCTTGGGTATTTCACTCCCAAATTATTTAGTTAACTCTACTACTGTTCTCTTGAGATGCCTTGAGTTTTATGGATACTTGCCTTGAAGTGGACCCTGAAGGCTAAGTAGGAGAGAAAGAAAAATCGTTAGCCTTTTTAAAACATTTCCCAGATTGTCTTTTTGGAGCTCACAAAACTAAAGGACAGAGCAGCACCTTGAGCACCAGGTGACTGCCAGTAACCCTAGAGCTTTCATGGTAAGACTCACTTGCTCGGGTCCTCTTGTAACAATAACCGGACATAGTTGCTTTTGGCATTAGGGATTCCTTGTCTCACAGCATGGATTTAAACAACCCAGGAGTCTGTTTAAACATAAAAGGAAATGGGCTTTTCAAATACCATGCTTAGAAACCACTGGCTCTGTGATGGCACTATTTCGGTTTTCTTTTTAGAAGGGAATTTGGTTTGTTACTTCATTCTCACTTCCTGTCCTTCCTGGTTTGAGCCCCTCTCTGACTGCACACAGGCCTTTCTGCTGTCGTTCATCCTTCAGGGCTTCAGTGTTGTTGCATCAGAGGAAGTCCTCTAAGATTCCTCTCCCACTTGCTTTTCCTTGCTGCTGAGTGGGAGGTACAGAGAGCAGTGTCTGCCCTTTCCACAGAGAAAAGTGCTTTGCGTTTGTCCCTGGCAGAAACTTGGTCATCAGAGAAGGTTCTTATGGGCTTTTATACTGGATGGATTTTACACAACCTGGTGAATTGAAAAATAACTTGAAATGGAAGAGCTGGAGTAAATGGAAGCTATTTTATCTATAATTTTTGCCCCCAGAGTTTTGGAGGGTGTAGGATTTTTAGAATCTGAAATTTGAAAAGAGTGACAGTTTACCCTTGTGTTGTCCTTGGAAGAAGAGTATTTCTTTGGGGAGTGGAGTTCCGGGAAAGAAAGGTGACTTGCGCATATGAGCCCAAAGCTGTGTGCCCCTGAGTGATGTTAAATATGCCTTATTAGTTTAGAAAGTTTCTTGAGGACATGGAATATATCTTTGTAGGTGTATGTGGCTCCTAACAGTGAGTTGCATCTAAGTAAATAATAAATACTAGCAATTCAGGAGACACCCATCTTTTGATCTCACTGGTTGATCACTCCCCTTAGGGGTGGTTATGACCATCACCTTGTCCATTTACGCCACAGATTTTCTGAAGAGAAAAATAACTGTGTCATGGAAGAAACTATGTGTTGCAAAGGTTGTGAATAAAGGTTGAGAGTGAGATGGTTTAGTCTGGCCTCTTTTTAGAGCAATGATTGATTAGTGCTGTCTGTGTTGCTTTTTCTTCCAGAGCTGACCTGTCCTGGACGCAGCATAACTAACGAAGCTGCTGCAGGATGAGAAGATGGCAGCGCGGCTGCTCGCACCACCAGGCCCTGATAGTTTCAAGCCTTTCACCCCTGAGTCGCTGGCAAACATCGAGAGGCGCATTGCTGAGAGCAAGCTTAAGAAACCACCAAAGGCTGATGGCAGTCATCGGGAAGACGATGAGGACAGCAAGCCCAAGCCAAACAGTGACCTGGAAGCAGGGAAGAGTTTGCCTTTCATCTACGGGGACATCCCACAAGGCCTGGTCGCGGTTCCCCTGGAGGACTTTGACCCATACTATTTGACGCAGAAAGTGAGTTGGAAGAGGCGATGCAGCAGCTTCAGATGCCCCTTTCCTAACAGGTTTAGGGGAGACGGGGGATAAAGAACTGTGTCTCTTTGCCAAAGTTTGGATACGTTAACATTTTATTTCATTTCTGGCTTATCTGGGATTATTTTTCAGTTTAATTGCAGCTAAGGGTCATTTGTGGGTCATGGCACTTCTCAACTCTGTTATTAAGACTTAACGTCTCTGGCTCCAGGCCAGATCAGGAAAAGAAGACATACATGAAATGGGACTCTTTAATAGAGTCCAAGAAAGGTGGCATGGTAAAAGATGGCACAGGCCTGTAGGCTCTCACACACACATATTCCAATTTCTGTCTTTCTGTATAAAGGTGGTTTTGGTATTGTGGCATTAACAGAGCCTGTTGCTAATACAGTGGAGATGATGGGTTTGTCCTCTTATCCAGCCCCATTTGTGACATTAGAGCATAGTTGTTGGGCACAGGAATGGAGTAGAGTGAGCCAAACTGGGCCAAGGAGGGGAGTCCCCAGGTCTTTGGCCTTGTTACAGTGTTGTCTGGATTGAGCCAGCATTGATTCTTGACTTAAAGTCAGTTCTATTATTTCTGCAGTAAGGAGGACTAGTGAAAGAAACACCAACCTTCATTTGGGCGAATTTCAAACTTCCCTAACAAATATTTGGCCAAACCTTGGGTTTCTTTCTCATGATTATCTTTTGAAACAAGGCAACAAATGGAGAAGCAAAGCCCCCTGGAAAATCTACCAGCCAAGTAATTAGCCACTGAATACAGAGGACTGACATCAGATACCATTTTAGGGGACCCCTCATTTAACAGATATCATTTACAGAATTAAATCAATAGGTGTTTCCAGATTGGGGGAGAGGGGGAAAGGCTTTGTGTAATTACATATTTATAAATATAAAGCTTAACTAAATTGCCTTTATTAATAAAACTGCCTTATAAACTGCCCTTAACTAAATTGCCTTTCAGTCTTTCCATTTTGGGAGAAATTTCTGTTTCTTTGGCTTAATAGCGGGACAGAAGTAAGACAAGGCCAAGAGATCTCTTGACATAGTTGTGGAGGCATTTTCAGTTGAAGGTGACAAAAGCACTCATGACACTGTCTACACAAAATGGTCCTTCACCCATGAACTTCTCTTGCAGCTCAGAACACCTACATAACAGGAAAAAGTGGAACCAGTAGCTTATATCTTCTGCTGGGAAATTTCGAAAGTTTAGGGAACAAAACAAGATACGTTATAAAGAACCGTAGGCTGGGAATAAGAAATACTGATTCTACCATAATTCACCTTGTTTATTATTTAGGTTTTTCTTTTTTAATATATGTATTTTTTAAGCTACCACAAAGAAATTATGGGAAAAGAAAGTAATAAATGAAGAAAAAAATCTTCTCAAAACTAGTTGATGTCCTTTCACAAGTTATTTCACCTCTATGGGACTAAATTTTCTCATCTTTAAACTGAGAAGTTGGACAGCATTTTTAAGGATTTTTGTCAGATATCAAGTTCTGGGACTAAGTAGTTTTCATAAACTGTCATTGATTTTTTTCATTTATTCTTCCCTTTTTTAAAGTCTAACTTTGTCATCTGTGTCTTTGCAAGTAGGATTAAGTGGGTGAGGGAGGAGACAAGCTTTAACTTTTTGGGTGAGTGAATAAGGGAACATGGAATCTTGGGCTGTTTTCAGAACAATATTTCATTCATTGTAAAATTTTGAATATATTTCCCTCCTCTTTTCTACCCTTGCATCCATGGTCTTATTAGAAGTTAAAAGAAATGACAGATCTCAGGGTTCAGGTTGTGCTTATTTAGATCAGTTTGACCAATTGGTGTAACTTTTTTAGGAAGCACTCTTCTAGCAATAGCATATAGGTAAAACATCCTTTGGGCCCTGGCCTTTCAGGTGGCTAAAACCTCTTGGTTTTTATTTGAACTATTTATTTTTCCAACTCAAATACAAATTAAATTTCCTTTTCTTAAACCTAACTTAATGTATGAAAAATATATAGAGCTATTTATTGTCAGAGCCCAGTGTTCCTTTGCATGCCTTTTCCCCTGGCTCCTGCCCTGTAGACAGCCTCTCTCCATTCCTAATGTCTCAGGTTTCAGTGGCCCTATGGGAGTGAGGACCCAAAGAGAATGAGTCTGGCCCTGGTTGGTATCACCTTAGATAGTCTATCCATATATTGATGGCACACCATTAGGGAACTGGCTTTTCATGATATTATAGAAAGTCTGACTACAGCCTTTGGCCTCACCATAAGGGAAATAGTTCATGGAAAGGATAACTTTAATTGTGGTTTTTTTGGTAATCCTTTTTAAGAAATTGTGACTATACCACCATGCAGAAACGTTCATAAAACATAAATGCATAACTTAATGATTATTATTATATAAAGCAAACAAATTAACACCTATGACAAGAAAGAATATTAGTAGCACTTCAGAAGTATTCATGGTACTTTTAAATAAGGGATTTTTCATTTGACTAAAAACAATAAGCTTGCTCAAGTTTACTTGCAAATTTTCACTGGCATTATTAATATTTCGTATTAAGTAGGCTTTTCACTAGGCCAAATTAGCAAGGTCTCCCCTACAAGGAAGCACACTGGGAATTAAGCCACAAATCAAAAAATTCTGAGAGTAGCAAATACAGAGACAAAAACAAAAACAAAAACCCTGCTTTTCCACTCACATCCTTGATAATTCCTGTGGTTTATGAACCCTTCTGAGGATGAGTCCCAAGAAGTGCAGTGCTGCTGAGGGAAAGGATGGCTTTTATGTCCGCTCCAGTATTGTGTCTTCTCGACTGAAGGAGTTCTGAGTAGCTTAGTGGCCCCAGACCCGTTATTTCAGAGACTAGGTTTTAGTATCAACACTGCTACAACTGTTCAGCTAGTCTTGTAATCTGGAGGCAATTTACTTAACCACCACATAGTATTGCTTTTTAAAGAAAGATGATCTCCCCTTTGCCCCAATCCCCTAGCCCGCCAGCAGAATGATACAGTAAAAAGAGTACCTAACTAGGAAAATAAAAACCTTCGTTTTAGTTCTACCTTTGCCTCTTGTTTGCCCTTAGCCAAGTCACTCAAATTCTCTGGCCTTCAATTTCCTTATCTATAATATATAATATGATATACATGATATGATATATAATATAGTAAAAGAGTGGGACAGAGCCAGCCGAGTGGTGCATTGGTTAAGAGTTGGCTTGGGACGACAGCTCTGAGTAGGGCCCCGGTTCGGATCCCACATGTGGGCCAGTGATGCTGCGCCCTCTACAGCTATGATGGTGAACAACAGCTCGACCTGGAGCTGGGCTGCTGTGAGTCGCCGGCGACGGCGTAGGCTGCAGTGGGGCTGGTGGCAGCTGGCGTGCGCTTTCGTAAGCCGCCGTGAGCGGCCGTCCAATGGCTGGCGGGCGACTGCCTCACCTGGGAAGAGTGCAATGATAATACCAACGTGGGCCAGTGAAGCAACATCCTCCACAACTAGACTGAGAAACAAAAAGGAGAGTAACTTGTCTGTTCCCCTTCCCCAATTCCCCAATGCTGTTCCCCGCAATTCCCCAATAAAATCTTTAATAAAAAAAAAAAGAGTGGGACCTATATCTATATCTTTCTAATTGTGTTTTGTGCTTCTGCCTATCACAAGTTATGTTTTAGCAGTAGCAAATTACTTGGTTTCTACTAAGTAGTTTCCTTAGTGTCCCCTGCTTGCTGGTCTCCATCTCCTACTCTTGGAATGCAGTCTGTCCTTTAACTTCACCTTCTGACACTACCCATTTGTCCAGGTCCAGGCCTGAGGCCTCTTCCTCCTTATAGCCTACATTGATTCTTCTATATCAGATCTCATTCCTCCTTCTGAATTTCTATAATACCTTAAGATCTTCAGCCCTGCCTTTGATAAGAAGTGGGTTTTAGGTTTAATTCAGGTTAGGTATGGCAGGGCATTCTTCCCAACAATGCTTACAAGTTTCTCCTTACATCACTAATATTAGTGCTATTAGCTTCCACAAATGAAAAACTCTTAAGTGACACACACATATGTGTGTGCATCACACACACACACAGTCCTATGAGTTCCTGGTGGAAAACCCTAGCCAAATCCATTTTCACACACTTTCAGCAGGTATACAGAGCAGACATAGGCTGCTGAAGGAGAGTTTGCATTCATTAGGTATGATTTGAAGTATTGCTAATGAGGTGTTGCATTGCTAGCTTTTGCACGATAAGCCTAGATGCTGCTTTTTGTGTTAAATAAAAACTACATATTTTAAAACTTGGTTTTATTGTTAAAATGGTTTTACAACAATATACAATGACGTTTCTGTTATTTTATTCACCAAATCTAATCGAAGCAAACGCTTGTGAGCCAATGGGAGGTAGGTCATTCTCAGGGTGATGGGTTCATGATGTGCATGTTTGGGGTTCTTTTCCACTCTCCAAGTATCATCTAGAAGGAAGGGAGTTTACTTAAACATTTCTAAGTCAGATTCCTCTTTTATAGCCTTAGTAATCGACCAAGAGTTGGGAAATTCTGTCTCTGAGCCCATCCATCTAATTCTAGGTGATCCTGGGCTTGTCACTTAACTATTCAGGGTCTCAGTTTCCCCAATCTCGAATATTAGCTAATAGCTAATATCCCACCTATCTTACAGGGTTGTTATGAAGATCATTTCGTAACTACACTATATAAAACAAAGCAGCCTATTGCCCCAACCCTGCTTCATTTTTCTCCATAACACGTAGCAACGCCAAGCATATATTTATTTGTTTATTGTTCATTCTCTCATATACTCATCAGCTGGAGCAGTGCCTGTCCTGTAGTAAGTGCTCAATCAATATTTGTTTAATGAATGAATTAGTTTTATGAGATAATGCATATAAAAGCAGTATGTACTTTTCTAAATGTTTTGAATAGGAAAGGTGACATGATTTTTTTTTCTAATGACAAAATTTTCCATCTACCAAAATGAATTAAAC